TCTACCGCTGAGTCACAACCTCAGTCCAACAGGCCCTATTTAGATCCATGGTACTGAGCACCTGCGGACCAGGACTGCTAACGAGACCTTGACTCACCACACTGTCTCAGAGGCCTTTGGCTGGTTTATTCCCTGTACCTGATCACTCCCTGGGGGGGCACATACTCTTGGTACCCCTAACTTACCTGGTGGGGGTCAGGCCTGGACTCTGATCACATGTCTTTCTGGTTCTACAGGGAAGGAGCGGCTTGCTGCTTGCCTTGGAATTACTGTTCGGGAAGCCACCCAGTTTTTGGAGAGCTTTTTGCAGAAGTACAAGAAAATCAAAGACTTCTCGCAAGCAGCTATTGACCAGTGTTATCACACAGGTAGGGCCGCCGCAGCCATGCCCTGGCACCCTGGCTTCCTCTCCTCTGCAGCTTCCAGTGCTGTCTGTCACTCCTAGCTTTACAGCTGGCAGGAGGACAGACAGGTGGACAGTGTGTGGATGGGCAGGGCTGGGCTGCTGAGGCTGCAGTGCCTGGATGAGCTCCTGCCGATGAACAGAGAGGGCCATCACCAGAGCCAGCTCCAACTGAAGCAACAACCTAGTGCAACCACCCAAATAGAGAGACAGACAGAACCTGGGCCCAGAAATGGAAGACATGTGGCACACTTACAAAACACCTCCAGTCTGGTCACAAAGGAAACCCCAAAAGGTTCCATGTCGTGCCCACAGTGTACTAAGAAGTCCCTGAATACATGTCTCTCCATGTGCCATTCACACACCTGCTTGGAACTGTGTCACAGTCCCAAGTAACTTAAGATAAAAAAGACATCCCAAGAAAATACAAAATTTTAGAAGTAAAAGACAGTAAAATAGGGGCTGGGGATGTGGCTCAAGTGGTAATGTGCTCACCTGGCATGCCCGAGGTACTGGGTTCCATCCTCAGCACCATATAAAAATAAAATAAAGATATTGTGTCCACCTAAAAAAAATAAAAATAAAAAAAGACAGTAAAATATCTCAGCAAACACTGTGGAACTTGGCCACACTAATAACACTTTATTTGGAAGCAAGTGAATATTTTAAAGAGTATTTTAAAAGAAATCTGCAATTATAAGTGAGTTGCATTCAACATAAAATTTGGGAAAGAGGAATTAAAGAAAGAAGAAGATAAAGAGCAAAAATTAAAGAAACAAAGAAGATTGATAACTGGTACAGAGAGTGTGAGCCCTCACAATGAGCACCCTCTTGGGAGTGAAGTATGAATCAGGTGGAGGACTGGCCTGGCAGAACCTACATTCCTCACTGGCTGGGCATGCATGCCCTCAGGGCACAGCAACATCTGAATGACACCCTTGATACCCTGAGCCCTCTTTGGATCCTCCAGGGAACACTGAGGACTTGCCACTCAGCGCCCAAGCACAGTCTGAGTTCAGGACTGCCTGCTACAATGTCTATTTTTTGCCTGCCGTCAGGCTGGTCTTGCCACCCACTAGTAAGGGAAGCTCCCAGCACACTCAGAACTCCTGCAGCCTAAGTCCTGCCTGCTGTCCTGATGTACGTGGAACACACACATGCCAGCAGAGCATTTCCATACCCCCAGGGTCCAGCAGGCCCGGACAGTTGGGCATGGGCAGGGTGCCCTTGGCACAGGCCCTGGTGGTTTCCTGCCCAGGAGCCCCATCCTCAACAAAACTAAAAATGCTGTTGATTTTGAGATGTTGAAATGGTGGTAGTTTAGTTTTGTTCCCAGTGTTGATCCTGCTATGAGCTCCACTCCCCTCCTTGTACTGAACCTTCTGGAAGGGTTGTGGCATGTCATGCTTCCAGACAACAAGCATGCATGCCCTTTGACCCAGCAGTTACATGTCCAAGCAGATGGTGCAAATGTGCATTAGAACAATCATTTACTTCATCTCAAATGTTTGCTGGGTGCCTGGCATGTGTCAGGCGAATGCTTTGCTGTCCACTGGGAGAGACAGTAAGAAAGACATTCAGGGACACTGCACCCTGACTGTGGAAGGAATGGAGAGCAGCACAGAGGAGCCCCAGGGCATCTGACAGCCATGCCTCCCTGAAGAGGTAACCTGAGAACAGACTAAAAAGGTCAGGAATGGCCAGGGGAGGGGCCCAGCATTCGAAGGCAGAGAACCCTGGGCAGGTGCATAGAGCAGAGAAAGAAGAGACAGTGCCAGGCAAGGCCAGACCATGCATAGCACTCCACGTGGAAGGGTCCTGGGTTGCATCTTTTAAAAACTCACCCAGTAACAAGTGAGAAAGAGATTGGAAGGAAAGTCCCAAGGCAGAGACACTACCAGAGAAGAGTCTGGAAGCAGCAGTGGGATGCCACGTAGGAGTTGCTTAAGAAGGAATGCAGGGGAGGCTGGGGCTGAGACACCGTTCTGGCCACCAGTGCAAGTGGGGTCACGTTCCCAGAAGTCAGTGTAAAACTGCACATTGGCACACGGCCTGCCCCAGGTTGGAGCAGACTGACTTGACACTGATTTCTTCTGAGGCCCAAGAGCAGCCAGCAATGTGCTCACATGGTCAGGTTTTTGTTTTCAAAATTGGCAACAGCAAGGCATTTGTACTGCTTCTTTTCTTTCTTTCTTTCTTTTTTTTTTCTTTTTTTTTTTTTGTCTGTAAAGGATTGAACCACTGAGCCGAATCACCACGTTTTGTTTTGTTTTGGTTTGGTTTTTTGAGACAGGGTCTTGTTAAGGTCTGTAGACAAGTCAAAATAACACGTGGTATTTTGCCAGAGAAATGTTAGAGTTCGTAAACAAGTTTGGATGGTGCCTGGCAAAATGCCAGAGGGAGTGGTTTGAGAAGTAACAAAAGCAAGCCATTAAGTGTAGAGATTCCTTATTGGTTGACTGATGTATCTAGTTTATGCTAATTAAGGTAAGCTGTGCAAAATGTATAAATAGCTCTGTTGTCCTACAATAAACGGCTCCTATTCCTGCTGTATCAACGTACACAAGTTATTCGTCACCCCCCCACCCCCCGGCTATTTTGCTGCAGCCCGACTGCGGCAGGTCTGACTAGGTTGCTTAGTACCTCGGTAAGTTGCTGAGGCTGGCGGTGAGCTAAAGATTCTACAGCCTCAGCCTCCTGAGTCACTGGGATTATAGGCACATGCCACTGCACTCAGGTTTTTGTTGTTGTCCTAATTAGTTGTCTATGATAGTAGGATGGATTTGACATATTGTACACAAGTGGAGCACAATGTCTCATTCCTCTGGCAGTAGTACATGGTGCAGAGTCACTCCCCTAGTGTGATCATACATGAATATAGGTAATAATGTCTGTCTCATTCTACCATCCTTCCCATCCCCACAGCCCCACCCCTCCCCTCACTCTGCTCTACAAACCAAAGTTCCTACATTCTTCCCTATCCCCCTGTCCCACTATGGAGCAACATCTGCTTATCAGAGAAAACATTCAGCTTTTGCTTTGGGGGGGATTGGCTTATTTCACCTAGCATGATATTCTCCAACTCCATCCATTTACTTGCAAATGCCATAATTTCATTCTTCTTTAAGGCTGAGTAATATTCCATTGAGTATATGTACCACATTTTCCTTTATCCATTCAACGGTTGAAGGGCATCTGGGTTGGTTCCATAGTTTAGCTTTTGTGAATTGATCTGCTATAAACATTGATGTGACTGCATCACTGTGATATGCTATTTTAAGTCCTTTGGGTATAAACTGAGGAGTGGGATAGCTGGGTCAAATGGTGGATCCATTCCAAGTTTTCTGAGGAATGTCCATACTGCTTTCCATAGTAGTTGCACCAATTGGCAGTCCCATCAGCAGTGTTTGAGTGTGCCTTTTCCCCACATCCTCACTAACATTTATTGTAGCCCATATTCTGGATGATTGCCATTCTGACTGGAGTGAGATGAAATCTTAGAGTGGTTTTGATTTGCATTTCTCTGATTGCTAGAGATGTTGAACATTTTTTTCATGTTTATTGATTGATTCTATTTCTTCTGTGAAGTATCTGTTCAGTTCCTTGGTCCATTTATTGATCAGGTTATTTGTGGGGGTTTTTTTGTAGTTAAGTTTTTTGAGTTCTTTATATATCCTTGGAGATTAGTGCTCTGTCTGATATCTGTGTGGTAAACGTTTTTTAACATTCTGTAGTCTCTCTCATCACATTATTGATTGTTTCCTAAAAGAAGATGCTTTTTAGTTGGAATCCATCCCATTTTTAAATTTTACTTCTTATGCTCTAGGACTCCTTGTTTGGAAAGTCAGGTCCTAAGCAAACATGATGAAGATTTAGGCCTGCTTTTTTCTTCTATTAGGCTCAGGGTCTCTGTTCTAGTGTCTAAGTCTTTGATCCACTTTGAATTGATTTTTGTGCAGGGTGAGGGACAGAGGTTGAATTTCATTTTGGCACATATGGAGTTCCAGTTTTCCCAGCACCACTTGTTGAATAGGCTGTCTTTTCTCCAGTGTATGTTTCGGCACCTTTGTCTGGTATGAGATGACCATTTATGTGGGTTTGTCTCTGTGTCTTCTATTTTGTACCATAGGTCTGCATGTCTACTTGGTATGAATACCATGCTGTCTTTGTCACTATTGCTTTGTAGTTCAAGATCTGGTATTGTGATGCCTCCTGCTTCACTCTTCTTGCTGAGGATTGCTTTGGCTATTCTGGGTCTCTTATTTTTCCAAATGAATTTCGTGGTTGCCTTTTTCTAGTTCTGTGAAGAATGTCTTTGGGGTTTTCATAGGAATTGCATTAAATCTGTATAACAGTTTGGGT